CGGTATTTGTTATAGTATCATTAGTGAAATCTTTTGAAAAAATTTTAGTACATTTTCCATCTGCCATGCCAGGCGAAGACGAAGAAACGAAGTGGATGTAATGCTCGATGTACTTGTTGGCGTAGTTACATAAAATATTAAGAAAAAAATTTTTGTTTTTCAAAAATATAAACAACATTTATGTCAAAAAAATAAAAAATTTTTTGTCAAAGTAATAAGGATATTTTTGCTGGGTAGGGACTCCCTAATCACTTTAGCGGTATGAAAAATAGATAGTACCCGATTCTCAGACCTACTGAATACACCTATAAAATTTGGTAAAAATCGGTAAAGCCGTTTCGGAGGAGTACGGTAACTAACATTGTGACATGGAAATTTTATATATAAGACCGCAAACAGACATCGTTTGGCCTTGTGACTTATTGATGGTCTTTGCAAATGCCAATCTAATAGGAAATTGAACGCGTTTGAATTAAATTGGCTTGTCTGTGAGAATCATTGGAATTCATGGCAATAAAAGTTTTTCGTTTCGGAACTTGCCATTCAAAATGGTGGCTTCGATAATGTTTTTCATCAATTTTTTAATTACCAATCGCGTACTATTGCATAGCCGTGGTGGGTTCAAATTCCGAAGTAAAATAATCGGTGATCCAACTTTCAGTCGTAAAATGTGTGGTGGCATGCCTGGCAAATCAGGTGAGTTTAAAAACTCTGCTGGATAGTTTACAACTTCGTTGGTATCACAAACTGTATCGATCGATTTGTATGATATTAAGTCGCCTGGCAATGTCTGTTCTAACTTGAAGTTTAATTCATCAACGTCCACGTTTTTTTTGCTGCTAATGGCTCTTTCTCCCAGCCACCCATGATTTATGTATTGTATGTGTACATCTGGAAATACGCGGTCAATGAGAGCATTTTGGGAATCAACGATAGTGCAGAAATTAGGGGGCAGTTTTATGAATTCAGTATTTTCATAGACAACAACTTTTCATATCATAGCAAGTTTTCTTTTTAAAAATATAAAAAAATTTATGTCAAAAAAATAAAAAAATTTTTATTAAAGCAATAAAGATATTTTTGCTGGATAGGGACACCCTAATCACTTTAGCGGTATGAAAAATAGATAGTAGCCGATTCCCAGACCTACTGAATACGCATATAAAATTTGGTAAAAATCGGTAAAGCCGTTTCGGAGGAGTACGGTAACTAACATTTAGACAATGTTAATTTTATATATAAGATTTATTGGAAAACATATTTAATTAACTAAAAGAGTATATGTATATGAAATGTGAAGTATTAATAAATTTAATGTACGTCCCAAAGTAAACAACACAGGGTTGACCTTAACGGTACAGTTGATCGCCAATAGATTCCTATTTTCAAATAGTTCTGTTAAATTTGAAGTTCACCTTGTATATTGACTATTAGAAGTTATATTGAACTACAAATGCATAAATGTTTGTGAACATATGATACATTGATATTTTTCAGATATTCAATTCCATTTCTATAAAATTCAATAAAAGAGTTCGGCTAATTTTTGAGGAATTCCTGGCCAAAATAACTTCCCGACCGTTATTAATTTTGGTATAATATACCACTCATGAACTTTGCAACCATATAAAAAATTATCACTGAAACTTGTTTTATCAGTAAAAAAAATATTCGTTAGTCAGAAAATAATTTCATTTTTCCTAACATACCTCATGTCATTAATCTTCAATATTAACGGTACAAGTTGAAAATTGTTACGATTGTCAAACACTACAAATCGAATAGTTCTTCTTCATTTTGCTTTTAATTTCACACCATAGAATTGTACAAATATGAAATAAAATTTCGCGATTGTATCAACTACAGACGCTAGACCAATGGGCATCATCACTCCTGCTGAGTTCTTTAGTCAACCGCTAAAGTGGAATGACTCGACTGTATCTCTAACCCATCGACACAATCTCCCCCTCCCAAGTGTAAAAAGTTTACAGTTGTTAGCTATTAGAAAACTGCTATTAATTTGATTGCTAAATTTAATAAAGTACCGTATTTAAAAATAGTTCCAACAACTTGACGTTCCCAGAAACTCGGCCTAAGACAAAAATATCAATAAAGTAAAATAGTGGAAATTTGTATTTCATATACGATAGAAAAGTAGAATATTTTTTTCGACATCACAATATCATCCAGATAGGCAACATCATTACCGTCTTGCAGTTAATTAGCATTTGATGTAGGCACTATATAGTAATTCAACAAGGAAGACGAATCTATAATTTTCAAATATTTTAATTAAGATAAGGTGATTTTTTCCAGTTTTAGTTAATAAAACACATTTAAATATGCCATAAAGTTAAACATATGTGACGCAGACAAAAGTCCTAGACAAAAGTATAGTACAACTCAACAAGTTCTTATAAATTCTTCTAAAAGGTTTTTAAGATAATAAATTCTTATTACGTTGAAGCAACTATCATCTCTTAGCTTTTTATTGTCTAAATTAGAACAAAATTCATTGCTTTAGTTTCACTAAGGAATATTGATTATTCATATTCATATTCATATTATTCAAAAGATTAAACACTGAAGGACATTAAGTCCTTAATCATGTTGGTTAATAATTATGACACATAGCTTGAACATAGGCGTATGTGTAGACTTATATTGGACCTTTATTCGAACTATCCAATTTGGTCAGGTGCAGCAAAACTTCTCAAAAAAGTTTACTACATTATTTTCACTGATAGACGAATAAAAACAGTTCCTTACTGTGAAGCAAAAGCACTAACGCCAATTTGAAGACAATACCTATTAATGTTACAAGGTAATGTTACAAGATAAGGGAAAAAACGAAAATTGTGAAGCCGGAAAGCAAATGATCAATGACTATTATCATTGATCTATATGCTCAATTGCTTAACAGGCATTGCAAAATATTATGAATCTCACAACGAATTCTTCCACATCGAATACATTTTCCAAAATAAAGTATCGAATTTTTCCTACTATGAAGACTAAAATAATAGTTAAAATATAAAAGATTTGCTATCAAACAGCAGATAATCGATAGCACATAGGCTTATTGTGAAAGGTAGGAACAATTAGCAGATCATTGAACCACATATAGTGAGCTAAAGGGAAAAAATATATATAAAAAGAATGACTTTACTAAATTTGTTTTTTGACTTATTAATCCGGCCTTATAAAGAAGATTCTAACGATACAACAAATATTCTATATAATGAAACCACTATATAACTAACAAATAAGTGAATTGATTATTGCACGTATGCTCTTACTTACTTACTTAGTTGGCCATTACAGGCGTAAGTCGTCATTGACTGCATTAAGTAGCCTCCGCATGCGATCAGTGGCTTCTTGTCACCAGTTCATACTACAGAGCACACCCAAATCTTTGGTCACCTGGTCCTTTACCGAAGATGTGTATGTACTCTACCACGTTTTCCACGTGCGGATACTGAATCAAACACCTTTCTGGCCGTAACACTTTCTTCCATTCTCACAACATGACCAAGCCGAAATTTTTATCCTCTTGACTACGTCAATGTCGCTTTATAGCTCATATAGTCTTAAGTTTTGTGTGTATATATGTATATATACATTTTTTTAATACTTACATTAAATAGGCTTATTACCAAAATTTATTACTGTAAATACATATAATTTATATTTTTGCTGAAAAAAAATGTTAAGATATAATGAATAATTAAAGAAAAATTGGAAACAACATAGGCCCTTCCCATTACATCATTCGTTATACCAAAAAGATAGGGTAGAGATCATGTAGCTCAACAGCACATACTCTAAAACTTTTTTAGCGAAACTAGATCTGTTATTTATTTTTCAGTCAACACCTTTTGAAAGTTTCTGATTATAACCGCTGTTTTTTGAACTTTCTTATTGGAGAGTTATTTTATCTTAGTTCTATTGTTCGTGGCTTTATTTTTAAATATTTCGAATATATATTTCAATAACAATATTTGTATTTGACTCAAATATGTGGTACTGGACTATTTGGTAGTGATATATATAAATCAAATATCATGTGATACCCGAGTCAGTTCAATATATTTATAATATAATAGTATATTTAAGATTATTCACTATTTGTTTTTTAATGAAAACCCAATAAATAAATATTAACTCACAAAAATTAATGTCTTTATGAATCCACTATACATGTTTAAATTTTTTTTGTTTTAAATAGATTAACTATCCTAAACCAAATTATAAATGAAAAAAAATGAACTTAATTGAAAGTCATTGACAAAATAGTTAACATGGCTATCCTCTTCTCTCTAGACAGCATACTTTTATTAAGACAATAATATATAAAAATAAAATTTTTTTTTAATATTTAAATTGTTTTAAACTAGTCTTAAAAATTGGCTTGTCAACCGATTGAATAAATTTATGAGTGGTTGAAGCGTTGTGAAATTATTTATGTATTTAATTGAAACAATTTAAAAATAAGTAATTATAATTATAGTAAACATTTTTGGTAATATTTAAGTACGCCTTTAATTTAATTAGCAGTTACTACCAGGGTTACTCTATACGACAAAATTTATATAAAAAAAAATCAATCGGCTATACTTACTAGAAAATTTTATGTGAGTTCTAATATCGAAGATCGAAACCCCAAAAACAAAAAGCGAAACAGAAATAAACTTTTGACGGAAGACTGCACATCAGCAAACAAAAAATCCCAGTGACCGATTCATTGATCTCTGCAATTAAATTTATTCATTAACATTAAACCAACAATGCCAACAACATTAAATAATTTGTTTATCGTTTAACTGATTAGAGTTTCTGTATAAAAGCGTTAAAGTTCGGGGGATTTTGGATTAGTTGACAGGTGATCACGCACTGCGCCTAAATTGTTTGAATAACAAACTGAAATAAATTTAAAACTATTAACTAAATAAATAATTGCATAATTGAAATACCTGTGAGTCGCTTCTTGCCGTGCGGAAATGTTTGCGCTTCGTTTCTTAGTTGCGTCGACCCTTTTGCTGGTTGCCACAATTTCCTCTAGAATTGTGTTAGCCCAATACACTGTATTCGGCGGGTTAGGTGGATTAGGTGGTTATCCGTACGGTTACGGTGGTACATATGGAGGTGCATATGGTGGCGGCGGTTACGGTGGTCTGTATGGAAATAGTTTTGGTGGTGGTGGCTATGGTGGTGTGCCCAGCTACAGCTACTATCCACAATACCCCAGTTATGGCAGCTCATATCCGTGCTACAGTGGTGGCTATTCTTGTGGTGGTGGTTATCCTTATTATGGAGGTTATCCTTATTACGGCAACGGTTTAAGTGAGTTTTTGTAACTTGAGTGATAAAATTCGGACATTGTGTATTTTTATCTGCTTTTGAATTATTCATAAAAATTCAGTGTTTTGGACATGTTTCTTCCTCTAGATACAGCCTACGCCAGCAGCAGTGGAGGTACGGCGACTGCACAAGCATCTGGTGGCAGTTATTTTGGTGGATAGAATGATGAATTACTGCAGAAACTACTCATCACTACATTCAATCCTAATGTTTCGTTCGGAAAATGATTCATTTCCTCTAATTTTCATATTATCTGCATTAAGTTTAGGAATATATAAGTATACGTAAGATTTAGTTTGACTGTAAATATTATTAAGTTAAATGGAATGCAATTAATCATTATAAATTAAGAATACAAGAAGTTGAGTTAAACTTCTTGAAGGATATCTCTTCAAATTACAAATCCTATGTGACTAAATTAATTTATATGTTGAACCAAATAAATAATTCCAATAAATAAATGTAGTATTATTTATATGAAATTCATTGTAAAGTTTTCAGTTCTGGCTTTTTTATGAATAGTTCGATTGGGCGACCTTGCTCGAGACCAGTATAATCAGTGTTACATACGTGCAAAATGACAGGGTGAATATTCATCTTTAAGTATATGTTTGAACAACTCATAAAGAATTGAGAAAAAAGTCAGTAGATGTTAAAATAAATACATTGAGCCACATTTCTACTTAAAAAATTTTTTCAAAAATAAAAACCCATTAGTATAGTACATTGGTATATTACATTCTCATTAATTTCTCATAATACTAGAGATGAATTTTTTTTACAACTACTATATAAATAGAAGACGTAGTTTATTAGAGTAATTTTGTACTTCTAATACTCAGTTCAATATGTATTAAATGCTGGCTATATCGTTATGCGGTCTGTATTTGTATACTTTTGGCGTTGCTATCGAGCAACCATTTAAAGAAAAACGAATGATGAATATTATCATGATGTGTTAGTGACTCTCTGTAGGGTTTAGTATATTCTTGATAACAACTGACATGCCAAGCAAAGCTTTGAGATCACTATTAACTTTACTTCTATACATAGAAGAATGCATTTAATTAACAGCCTCGTTTGAAGGATACTTAAGATTCGGCAAGATCAAAGCTTATCTATTTCTGCAGTGGCTATTTAAATAATAATTTAAAAAACAACAAAAATCCCTAATAAATAAATTATTATTTTTATATATTTTTGGATTATAATTGATTAATATTGTTATTACATAAATATTTTTTATTTTTTAATAAAACAATAACGATTACAGCTTAAATAAGAATATTTTATTTTTTTTTTATTTTATTTAATATTTTATTTTTATTTAAGCCCTAATATATACTATAATTTCCTTTCAAAACTCAAACAAATATAGATACATATTAATGTGAAAATCATATTTGAAACGACAGAATTTTAGTAGAGTAAAAAAAAATTAGTTAAAATTTCTTATCGATTTGTAAGCCCCAAAAGATATTTTTTAAATTTTTTTTTTAATATATAATTTTTACTGATTAACAAAAATTATAAACCTGTGACTTCAACAATTTTATAACATCATAAAAGTTAAAAGAAATATTTTTACAGTATCACAAAATTTAAGTTTATGACTATTGTATATACTTAAATAATTGTCATCAGCATATTGTGAATATATACAATGATAATAATTGTACATTTTTGCTTAATTTTAATTATAAATTGCAAATTAATTTCAATTTAATTTTAACAAAGCACCGAGTCCTAAGGGCCTCTCAAAAATTCCATTTACATTATTTACGGGTACCAATTTTGTAGGGCTCTTTTAGTCTATGACGTTAGAGTGATCTATCTTTTAAAATTTAGCACTGACACATATATCTTAAGTAATGTACGACGTTATAACCTGCTCTTAAAAACTTTTATCTACTATCGCTACGGATCTTTAAGGTCTATGCGTGGTTCCGACCAGCAAGCTTCAAGAATTTCTAAGCTAAGTTTTGGGTATTTATATCTCAATAGAAGATCATTAAAGAATCACAAATTAATTTAAAAAATTAAATTAAAAATTTTCAAAAATTAATGACTTTATTTTCATCGAATGAACATATATGGACACATAAAACTAAACAATTAATTATTTTCTTATTTTCATTTATTTAAATTAAATCAAATTTGACCTATTTACCAGAAAATATTTATTAAATATATGTCAACAAAATTAATGTGGTATATCTTATGTGAAATTTAAATAGTATTTTACTAATCTCCAAATTGCAAACAATTATTAATTAAAAAAAACAATGGAAAAAATGGACGCGTATGCAATATATTACTTCTCTTAGTTGAGCTAATATAAATCTTTCTAAATTCACTGAGCGTCCGAATAAGATGTTTGTCCAAAAAGGTATCCAAAAAGCTTAAAAAACCATTTAGAATGAGCACAAAGTATAGTTCAGGAAGATGACTGACATTTTAAAGATAACGCCAGTGTAAATAAATTTTCAACTACATTTGTTGATAAAGAAGTGCTCAAAATTTTTACCATATAGCATGCTCACATGTTGATGACTTTAAGCGCTGTTTAAATTTTTTGCAAGCGATATGGAACAAAAGACGCAACATAGATCCATCACTACCCCAGAGCCGAATCGGCAGTCAGCAGAATGAATAACAACCGGCTACAATTGCCCAAAGTGACCAAAATGCAAATGTTATTTGGTTATGACTTATCCTCCGAATTTTGTGGTACACACGATATTTTTTTATCGAATACTTTGAAAAATGAAGATCGATATTATATTAAGTATGTGATAAAATTTATACATTGGAAGAATCCAATCGCCAAATCATTACAATAACAAAACTGAACAAATCACAATTTGAATTGTTTTCCCATCCACCGTAGTTTCAAATCTGACTCCCCACGATATTACCCCACGATCACAGACTTTCATATAACGTGTAAAGCAGCAATTTAGAAGTGATTGCCGGAACTATTGCCTATTTTGAAACCATAGACAAATCATCCGATAAACAATAAAAGGTTCTCTTAAATTCTCTTAATGAATCAGTACTTTTAAAAGAAACTATATTGATAAGTAAAATTCAAGTTGTTATGGCATTTAAAATACAATGAATATTATCAATTACCTATAAACATAGCAAACAAAACCATGAAGACATATATGCACCTATGTGTACCAGAGGTATGCATAAGTTTTAACTTAACCATGGCGCTTGTGAAATGCACACAGCGTGTTAATTTGACATATGTTTCGTTGTGTTCCACTGATACATTAAACTATAAACACCTACAAGTTGCGTCCTCCAAAAACTAGCGTCTTTGTTTAATATTTAGAATGATCGATATCTTATATTATACCTGTAAAAGAACAATTGCACGTTTCATTGATTACAATATTTGAGACATGGTTTCGACAATTTAAAAATAGTAATTTCTATATGAAAGAGCGTGAGCATTTTGTTAAACCCAAAAATGTGAAGATGGGCAATGCACTATGATATTGAATGATAATCCAACTCAAACTCAACAGCAATTGGCAAAAGAATTAAACATGTCACAGGAAAAAATCGTTGGAAGTTTACGAGCAATTGGGAGGGTCGATAAATTTAGTAAATGAATTTAAACCAGAGAAGTTAAATGAACCGCAAATTAAAAGTCGCAAAGTCACTTGTAAAATGCTTCTCCAACGCCACGAAAGAATATCTTTTTTGTATCAAATTGTGATGGGCAACAAAAATAGATTTATTTTGAAAACCTGATGAAGCCAGTACTCAACACCATCTCGCTTCGTGTTAAAGCGATCAACGCCCAATCGCTTCGGCTTTGTGTCTGGTAGGAGCAGATCGGTATTGTGTGCTATGAACTCTTGATGCCCGACACAACCATTAATGTACAACGCTATCGCCAGCACCAATACACCTTCTGCTACAGTGTCCTGCTTTCTCAAGACATAGACTCTCCTACTTAGAGTCACACTTTTTCAATTTACTAAGAATGCTAGATTCTATTTCCATAGCTCGTGTCAATGGGTTTGTGGCCAGTACCAAATGGTTGTCCCTATAACCATTGTGTCAAATTCTTAAGGGTATCACAATGGACCTCATGGTCTAAGTGAGTCTTCGGACGACCACAGTAACCTAACCTAATCTAACCTATCGCCAACAAGTGATTAATGTATAATGGCCTCGGAAAGGCCAGAAACGCAATTTTGTGCCGTTTCACACAGCAAAATCATCCAAAGAATCCTTGAAATCACTTTGATGGGGCATCCTTTTGCCATATTTTTCAGGCCTGGTGTCACCTGACCTTCATCTCTTTGCATCACACGTTCGGAGAACAGTACTTTAGCAATATCGCGGAAGTTAGAAAATGACTAGACAAATGGTCTCCCGCAAAAAACAAGAATAGTAGTCAGAAATAACCTAAAAGATGAGCGAAATGTATAGAAGCCGATGGATAATATTTTGAATTAAAATAAATTAATTTCTCTTAAAAATCATATGTCTTCTTCACCAAAAAAATCTTATGCATATACCTCGCAGCTACATATATATATCAATGCTTAACATATTAGAGATTAAGGAAAAAACAGTTAATAAATTTTGATTTGGAACTGTTGGTCAATCGCAGGTTTTATTAATGTGTAACTTACCGATATCATTTTACAATGGAAGAAATATAAAATAAAATAAGCATTTCTAATAAGCAGCTATATATATCAATGCTTATTATAGATTAAGGAAAAAACAGTTAATAGGTTCTGATTTGGAACTGTTGGTCAATCGCAGGTTTTATTAATGTGTAACTTACCGATTTCATTTTATAATGAAAGAAATATTTGATTATTAAATTAATAAATCTAATCGAAAATACCCAAAACTATCCATAAGAGATCGATTTCTATTTTGTTAGACAACGAATCCAACCACGAATTCTTTACTGCATAGCTGTTGTTGGTGTATGTACGTATAACTTTTATCTAAAGAAGTGTCTCCAAACCTTATAACTAAACAATGGTTTGAATCAACTGTAAAAAATAGGGCGAAATAGATTGTTTTAGGGACCGAATACATTTTGTACACCAACGAGATAAGAACAACAAAATCTTACCTAACGACATCGTCCGTGATGTTAAAGTGAGCTCTTCGGTAGAATTCGGAAATAACACACATATTTTAAACAAGGCATTGGATATTGTTCTTAATTATAATCTGATACCTTAAATTAGAATAAATATTTTACATTTTCTTGAGATTTTTTGTTTAAAAAAAATTATATTATGCTATGTACATATGTGCAAGAATGTCATATTCTTGATGGAATTGAACGCTTAAATTTTTAATACAAATTAAAATTTTCATCAAAACTCAAACATTTTTTATTGGGCACGTTTTAAAAACTCTATTAATTTTTTTATAGTCATTCGATGAGAACCTTTCATACATGTCAATAAACTGAAAACAATCAAATAAAACAATTTGTATACGTTAAACAATGTTCTAGACAAATGCAAAAAATAGCGATACAATTAGATTATTTAACCAATTAAATTATATTTATTTTTGCTTTAAATTTGTAATCGCAATGAACAAGTTCAAT